TTTTGGATCAAATTTTAGGATTTTCAGTGCGGCTTATAGTCGTGAAAATACGGTATTTTACATCAAGCCAAATAAAAAAATGCAGGAAAATTCATAATAGTTTGCTGTTCTCATACATCAACTATTAGCAGACACGGAGAGACCATCCTAGTATACAACTATTTTAAAAAGAAAGCAAAGGCCCAGAGCATATTCTCCTTCCCTCCCTATCACATATCCAACAATCTATATGCATATCAGTGGGAACCAGTGAGAATCAAAACAATAGAAAGGAACATTCTTAAGATGAAACAGTGCAGCCAAATCAAGCGGGTAGGCCAATCAGAAACAGGCACACATACAACTTTAAGTAAGATAGGTCAGGCAAGCTGTCATACATAAAAAGCCAGGAAACTCCCCTACTGTGAACATGCTTCCTGTTGATTGATTTAGATCCCGGGTGTCAAACTGGTGGCCCGCAGGCCAAATGCATACGCGCAGGCCACACCCACCCACCCCGGCTCCGTAGAGACAAAAAATGTCACAATACATCATGATACATTACGTGATGCGATCAAGTTTGACCCCCGTGATTTCGATGGTTTCCCAGCTTATCAGCTGCAACTCTGGGCAGTAAACGTAAGGTTAAAAACCAACAGAAACATTACCTGTTTTGGTAATTAAATGTTTGCAACAAATAAACCATTTTTTCCTGGATTGACAAATTGAAGTAAAACAGGTAAGCTCCAGTTCTTCAAGAAGACATGCTTTTCAATTATGCAACAATAAGGATTATCGAGCTGATTTTTTTTTTGCAAGCTTAAATAGTCACATGACTATGGATCTCTTTAAAAAATCATATGAAGTATCAACTTTGCAGAAGCAATTATTTCCCTCTGAAAGACGCAAGGTTTCTGTGGTTATGTAGATAAAAGGCATTGAACTGAATGTAGATTCCCATTTTAGTTAAAATGCAGTTTGGAATTCTGAAAGGTGGCATATATGTATTTTCAGGTTGTAGGAGGAAAAATGACCGATTTTGGACGACTTGGTGCCTTCATTACCAAAGTAAAGAAAGGTAGCTTGGCTGATGTGGTGGGACATCTAAGAGCAGGTATCTCAGTTATGGGAATGATTTTGTCTTAATATTCTCAAAATCTATATAATGCTACTGTCATGTACTATATTTGCAGTTTCAGTGTATTGTTCCCTCTGTAAATATTTCAACCTAACGGGCTCAAGGTAAAGGTTATCTATTTCAGCTGAACTTAGTTATTTTTGGTTAAAATATATGTTTATTGGATGGACTCTTGGAAATACTCTATACCCAAAGTAAAATTTGCATATGCTAAAACTATTTTTTATAATATATAAAGTTACTATGTCTCTCAAGAGTATATAGATCTCAGTTATACCTGAAAGAATGGTATAAAGAACTGAAAAAAACCCTATCTAATCTAAATATTGATAAGACTCCAGTTTATGTGAACAAAACAAAACCTTAATTCTAATTCTAATTTCCATAAACTTCATATGAAAAAACATGCACGAGACTCTTTGTAATATTGGAGATTATATATATATATATATATATTTTATATATATATATATATATATATATATATGTGTGTTTTTATTTGTGCTGATAAATAAATAAAGGGAGACATATTTATATATTTATATATTTATATATTTATATATTTATA